AAAATAGGTGGCTACAAATTGGCAAATGGCTGAACAAATCGTGGCATAAGAATGCAATGAAATACTCCTAAAGAGCAAAAAATTATATATATGAGAAGGAACACCAACAACTACCAACCCATATGCCTCTTCTCCCATTTATATAACATTTTTATGAACATCATCTACAGACACATTGGAGGCATCTTCAATGAAGGTATTTGTAAGGAACAGGCAGGCTTTTGGAACAAAGATTCCATAATGACTACATTGTTAGCATCACACTACAGACCTAAACATATAGAGAATACAAGCTCCCACTGTGCTTATTGTTTGTGTAATATAAAAGAGCATTTGGTTTGATAGAGCAAAACACTGCCTGAAAGACTCTCCTTCAAACAGGTGTTTATCAAAGGTAGGTAAGATTCTCTGAAAGGTATAACAACACAGATAGCCTTGTTCAACAACTCTCAGATGATAAATAACAGGCAAAGTACAAAACAGAGAGATATGTGCTCTCCAAAGGTGCTCACCACTGTCAGACTCCAGGATCCAGCACAGGCTCGAAGATGAAGGAGAATTTTCTATGGATGATGTGGTCTTCCACTCCTCTTCAAAGATGACATTTTGCCTGTTGCATCACAATTCCTCTCAAACTCCTGGAAGAGATAATTAAGTAATCAAAAAGAGTTTGACCTAACCATTCACAGAGGAAAAACTGAGTAGACAAAGAATGTCTATTATTAAGACTATGCTATGTAGTTGGATGGTCAAGCTATAGAGTCATCCATTGGTATATACACATGTGTATATGTATATATACGTATATGTATATGTGTGTATATGCAGGGTGTCCCAAAAGTGCAGTTTTGAAGCTTCAAGAACTTCAGAAATATCAATGCTACAAACTTACCCAAAAATTTTGAAATGTTAATGATTTAAAATTTTAAAATATTAATGTTTTTGATTAAAATTCACCACAACCCCACCTTGTGCTATATACCACTGTAGTCATTTTGAACTTTCATCAACTGTTACTCAGTGACTGAAAGAATTACATTTGTAATCCTAGGCTTAGGATCATCCAAAGAACAATGTCTTGATACAGACACAACAGTTTTGATGTAATCCCACAAGAAAAAGTCGAATGAGATAGATCAAGTGGCTGAGGTGGCCAAGTAAAAGCACCTTCACTACCAAGTCAGAGTGTCAATCCAGAAATTGTTACGTGCACAATGCATGACAGCATGCTCTGTCTTAATAAAATAAAATTTTAAATGTTTTATTTAAAACTCACAAAACTAAAAAAGTGTGAAAGAATCTTAAATAATTAAACTACCAAATATGTTAAGTTATTAAGACATAAAACAGCACTAAAAGTTTTGGGACACCCTGTACGTGTATGTGTATATATGTGTGTATGCATGTATATATGTATGTATGTATTCATGGGATAGTATAGTATAAATGGAAACTGAATTGGGCCAAGAAGTGAATAGGAAGAGGCAAGCAGGCTGAACCATATCCAAGAAACTTGAAAGTTCTTTTAATGGCCCCCCAACTGCTCCCTAAAATACTCCTGTTTTTAATCCCAACAGTCTACAAGTATAGAGGCATGGAGTATTGCAAAAGCAGCAGAATTAACAATCTGTATCACAAAGAGGAACCCTCCATAACCTGGGCCCTTCCTACCTTTCCCACCTTACTCCTTTCCATGTGTTCTAAGACTAATGGTGTCACCAATATGGTGAGCCCCCAAGAGTAGGGGAACGCCTAAGAAGGGGCGAATTGATTCAAGTCAGGAATGGAGCAGAACAAAGTCTCCATGGGAATGGGAACCATGAGTGGCCACTGTACTTGAAGCCTGGGTACAACAGGGAGGCTAGGTTCTCCCTTTCCCCACAAAAAAAAATTAATTCCATAGAGGTTTAGGGTTTCACATGTAATTCTCTTCTCCTAATTTACTTTGCATGTGGAAATGTTTTCTTTTCTGGTGTCTGTTAAATTCAGAATTTAAAAAATAAAATTTAAAAATAAATTATTCTAAATAGTTAATAATAATAATAATATTCTTCTAGTACTTTAAGGTTTCCAAACCACTTTCCCCACAAGCCTAGGTTAAAAACCTAGGTAAAGCAGGTATTACTATGCTATTTTACAAATGAGAAAATCAGGGCATAAAGTGCTGGCAACTACAAGCCTGCTGAGTCCACTCTTTAGACCCTGATCCTTCACAGTTGAGAGGCAGTGCAGTACAGTGGGAAGAATGCTGGCTTTAGAACCAAAGGAAGTGGCTTCAAACACTGGCTCTGTCATTTCCTATAGGATTTCTGTTTTTATTATTGATATGGTCATTAAAGCTTATAGTTTTCCTAATATTCAACAAGTCTTGCATTACTGGTATAAATTCAGCTTGGTCATACCATATGATCTTTGTGACATATTACTTCAATCTTTTTGCTAATATTTTGTCTAAAAATTTGGCATCAATATTCATTAGGGAAAATGGTCTATGGTTTTTTTTGTGTTTGCTTACTGGGCCACATCTACTAGAAGGTGGACAGGGAGGCCAGTACGGAGCCTCCAATCCAGACAAAGGACTTGCTCTGAAGTAGGACACGATCTTGATTTTTATGATGCTGAAGGTCAGGGCTCTGATTTCCTTCAGCATCCTGTCAGTAATGTCTGGGTACTTGATGGTACCACCAGACAACATGGCTTACAGATGTCAACATCATTCTTCATGATTGAATTAAAGGTAGTTTCATGGATATGAGATTCCATACTTAAGAAAGAGAGTTAAAAGAGAGCCTCAGGCCACCTGAACCTTTCATTGGCGATAATCTGACCATCAGGGAGCTTAGAGGTCTTTTCCAGAGAAGAGCTAGATGCAGCAGTGGCCATGTCCTGCTCAAAGTCTAGGGTAGCACGACACATACCTACATGATGTCACATACAATTGTCTCTCAGCTGCGGTATTGAAGCTGTAGCCTCCCTCCTCCAGTATCTTCCTGAGGTAGTCCACTAGGTCACAGCCAGTAAGATGAAGACTGAGGATGGCATGGGGAAGGAAGGGCATAACCTTCATAAATGGGCACAATGTAGGTCACACCATCATTGGTGTGAGTTCATCACAATACCAGTGATCTGACCTAAAAGCATACAGGGAAAGCATAGCCTGGGTGGTAACATACATGGATGGGGTGCTGAGGGTCTCAAATGTCATCTATATCAGTTCTCTGCTGACTCTGGTGTTCAAAGGGGCTTCTGTGAGCAGTATCCAACACTCTTCAAGGGCCACACGTAGTTCATTACAGTTCCTGATCTTCTCCAAGCCATCCCAGGTAGTGACAATACCATGCTCATTGGGGATACTTAGGGTCAGAATACCTCTCTTGCTTTAGGCTCTATCCCTCAAGTAGTTGTCTTTCTGGTCCATATGCACCATTAAACCCTGATGTCTGGGGTGCCCAACAATGGAAGGGAAGATAATCAAAATCAAAATAAAACTCTTCTAAATAGCTCCCATGTCTCAGGAAACAAAAGGAACTAGACCTGGAGTCAGGAAGATCTGGGTTCAATTCCCACCTCAGACACTTACTAGCTGTGTGACCCTCAGTTCAATGTTATTTGCAAACATAAACATCTGGAGGATGTCACCATCTATAGGGAACCCCCTCCTTGACTGGATCTCCCCCATAACAACCAACCTAACTACTCACCCAATCATAGGATCTTAGATCTAAATTTTAAAGGGACCTCAAAAGTCATATAGTCTGACCCCCTTATTTACAGAGGGAAAACCTGAGGCCCAAGCAGGGGAACTGACTTGCCCAAGGTCACACACAGGTCATAAGTAATAGAGGTAAACTATGAATCTAGCTACTGACTCCAAATTCCATGTTCTTTCCCACTGTGTCATACTGCCTAGGAAAGTTCTTTTTTTACCCTAAATTAAGACTCCTGAACTCTCCATATACTTTTTCACTTTAAATTTATCCCTCACTTGGGATTCCTTCTCAACTCCAGAGCAGAAGTATCATAGACAGTCTTAGCTCCTTTGAGTCACAGCTACAGTAGGGAGGACGTAACGGCCACTATGCCTTTGGTGCGTCCAGGAAGCTGCCTCTCTCCAGGGACACCATAAATAAATGATGAATTGATTTAAGTTGAACTGAACCTATCCATAGGGTCCACAGTCAATGTCTGTGATTGACACAAAGTTCTTTCTTCCAGGAAGAAGGGAGGAGGGACCAAGACTGGCTTTCACCCTTAACATGCCTCCAAGGTTTCCTATATTAGCAACATTTCCTATATTAGCCTGAGTCTCAGCAAGGAAGAAGTCTTCATCAAAAGCTCAAGTCAATCCAGTCCCTACTTTGTCAATAAGTCCATCATTACCCTTGGAAGCATAGGAAGAAAGACATGGCCAATGATTCATGAGAACAGGCTTGGTGTTTGAGACAGCTCCAAGCCTTTTCAAAGGATCTTCAAAGGATGCAAACAACATGTTTGCAGAGCACAGAAGGTCTAGCTGATCTAAAGATGAGAAATAATCATGTTTATTCAAATATTGTGCATCCAGAAGAACAGAACACCATGTGGGAGAGATAGCTAAGGGCTTCTACAAGGGCCAGACCCAACATGTTCAGCCATCATTTACATTAGAACATATTCCCCTAAGCTTAGACAAGTGGTTTCAGATCTACCAAAGGGAAGCATTGGCCTGAGGCGGAGCTGGACAAAGGTATGCCAGTGCCAACCATAGGTATATCTCCAAGAAAATGGGATGCACTCTCATCAGACAGGCTACTGGTCTCAAGCTTTACCATCTCAGGAGTTCTAAAATAAAACTCATCTTCTCCCTCACCCTTTAAAAGAAAATTTGCTTTAGAAAGGGAGCAACGCAGCTAGAAACAGGGAGGGGGAGGAGGAGACCTCAACTAGGAGTTGGAAGACCTAGATTTCAATTGTAGCTCAGACATTTCTCAGCCATGCAACCGGAGATACTTACCTTCTCTGTACCTCAGTTTCCCATCTGTTGAATGAAAGTGTTGAACTAGATGAATTGGGAAGTCCTTTCCCACTTTCAATCCTATAATTAACAACAGAAATTCTCAGTTTTACATACAATCTTCTTTTGCTGTTCTACTCTGTATTTGGAAAGGCTTGTTTTATTTGGTGTTAGTAAGCCTTAGAATCTCAAAATATTAAAATTCTAAATAAATACATAAATCCTATGATTAACTTCCTCATCTGATCTCATAGCACTGTTTAATCCTCTTACATGCTTATTCCTAGTTGAAGTTTATTTATTTATCTGTGAACATCCCTAATTTTGCACAGGGGGTGGGGGAGGGGACTCCGTGTAGTAAATTTATGGGAGGTTATGGAAAAAACATTGGGAAGGCATATACTATGGATGGACTGTCATTATTCTTGGAGGTAACTCATCAATCAATGAGATCTCAGATCTAACCACCCCAATTAGACTGTAAGTGACTTGAGGAAAAAAACATTGCACTCATCTTTGTACCTTCCTCCTCAGCCAGCAAGGGCCTCACACATAAAAATCACTTCTAAATGTTTGAAGAATGAATGAGTGAGTGAATGAAGCTGCCAATCCCTTCTTTTCCATAGTCCAACATCATTAATCCAGACTAAAAGGGGTGGGGGCTAGAGTATGGATTATAGGATATATTTTAAGCAATCTTGTTTTCTTACTTTAAAAGTAGTCAGTGAAATTAGCCTACCAAAGGAGAGGTCTTTAGGACACCTGCTTTGATGATTAACTAAGAATGATTTGTCATTGGCATGGGGGAATTCACAAAGGCAGGACATGGCCTGCTGAGTTCAAGGAGAAAATTGGTAGGATATGGAAATTGATTAGCTATGAGAAAAGGGAGAAGAAATAACCTAGGATGGCTCCAAGGGCACAAACCTGGGGAGGGGATGGGAGAACGGTGGGGAAGTGGGAGGAGGGCTGAACTTGCAGCTTCCAGAGCCCCAGCTTTGAATCACTTTGTCCTTACTAGCTATGTGATCATGAACAGAGCACTTAACCCTTTGAGCCTTTGGGTCCTCACAGAGTGGTGAGAATGAAGTATAAAATGTAAAATGCTTTACAAGCTTTAAGGTGTTATATAGATATAAGTAATTATTGCCAATCAGTCAACAAGTATTGATCACTATGAGCCAAGCACTGTTCTGGGGGTGAAACTGAAGAGCATGAACATTATTATCTCTATTTTATAGAGAATGAAACTGAGACCCAGGGAAGGTGAAGTGACCTCCCACAGGTCCCACAGTTAGTAAGAATCAGATGCAGCACTGGAACCCAGGTTCTCTGACTCCAGAGCCTCCTTGGAGAAACTCAGTGGGATTAGGCAATGAGAGACAGAAACTCCCCTTTTCAAGAAACTCTGTTCCTCAGAAAGAGGCAATGGTTTCTGTGGGTACAGCACCCTCTTTCTGAGCACAGTACCTAGGATTTGAAACAGGAGAAATGACACAAAGAGGATCACGTGCTAGTCTTGCCAAACTACGAGCAGGAAGGCGGGGTTGAATGGTCTGGCAACTGTAGCCAGACACTTGAAATAGCAAGCACTCAAACAGGTCTCCTTGGTGACAGCTGAGCCTAGCAACAGTCTAAACACAAACCAGCCAGCTCCAATAGAGGAGCAGCCAATCTAAGGCGGGGAGGGGAAGGAGGGAGGCTATGGGGGTGTGGACACAGGCAAACAGAAAAATGTGCTGCAAGAATACAATGCAAGTCCAAGGCTTGTCCATCTCACCATTGGCTTCTGTGCTGCTATGTTATCTTGTGTGAGATGCTTCTCCCACCAATCACAGACCCTCAGAGCAAGGAGGGACCTTAGCAGCCATCTAGTCCAAACCATACCCAAATGAGAAGCTCCTTCAGGGCTTCTTAAACTTTTTCTACTCATGACCCCTTCAGGGCATCTGACCCCACATGGGGTTGCAACCCACAGTTAAAGAAGCGCTGCATACTATCAAATGGTCAGCAAGTGGTCAACCACCTTTTGGGTTAAGATCTCCAATGAGGAAGAACCCACTACCTCCCAAAGCAACCTTGTGCTTAGATTATTACTTTCAATATCATAGATTGACCAAGACTAGGACCTTGCACACGCTCTTGAGATTCCAGCATATTATTATTATACACTGGCTTTAATGCCTCAGATAGAGGCAGGTGACCTTTGGTTCCAACAAACAAATGAAGTAACTGACAACAGATATGTAATATGTAAAATGGGACCCTGGTTAATTAAATTGCTAATGACACCTGAAATAAGGTCAGAAAACTTAGATCAGCACATTTTCATATTGCCCTCTTCAATCCAAGATCATTTTCTCAGCTTTTTATTTATCCATTTTAGAGTTACACAACCAAAAAAGTGGAATAAGTATGTTCTGTTAAGAGAAATCCCTAAAAAGGGACAAATGTAGGCAACTTGATTAGGCTAGTAGCAAATGTTAAAAAGAACTACACATGAAGTCAATAATTTCACCAGCTTTTGTCTGTTTAAACCATGTGCTAATGTATGCAAATTCATATAATGAGATTTATTCAAGGCAAGACTAACATTTACTAATTGTGTTTGAGATGAGTTGAAGTCATTTAGTTTAAAAGAGGAAGAATATATTATTGCTGATTTTACCTGCGTTATCAATTTCCTAGGTAATGGTGCCCTTACAAAAGACCCACATTTTAATGAGGGAAATGGATTGTGTTGAAAATCTCTTTTTTAAAAGCTCCTTACATTTTATACCACCTTTTTTTTTACATGATTGAAGAGCCAGTTCTGGCTGGTTTTGATCAGGAGAGGCCAGTGGGATTTGAATACTTATATGACATGACAACTGCTAACTAAAAAGTTTAAGACTTAGACAATCTATGCATTGTCTTGGCCCATAGAGAACACTCCCAAGTGACTGGACTGAATGACATTAGAGTTGAATTGATTGACAGTATATATGTCTATGAGAGGAAATGTGGCATAATGGACAGAGCCATAAAGACCTGGGTTCATGTCCCTCCTCTGACACATACCTGCTGTGTGACCTTGGGCATGTCACTTAATCTCTCACTGCCCCCCAGAGAATTCTCCATCACTATAATGTTGCTGAGAAGTTACATTGCTAGAGGAAGTTTCTTTATCAGGCGTTACTTTACCAACAGGGTCTAGACCCAAAAATGTACCTCACCAACTTAATTATAAAAATAAGTGTATAGAAACCCTTTATCAAGTACAACAGTCAGTTATACTAAAAACTATAAAGCACAGATGTAGAAGGGCCTTTTTCTAGTTAATAAAAATAGTTATTTTATTGTTTTTTTTTTAATTCAATTTTATTTTCAGTTCCAAATTCTCTCCTTTCTCTGTCCCCTCCCTACCCACTGAGAAGGCAAGAAAAACAGAACCTATTACAAATATGTACAGTGATACAAAACAAATTTCCACTTTAGCCATGTTTCAAAGAAAAAGAAAGAAACAGAAGAAAATACATTTTAATCTGCACTCTAAGTCTATCAGTTCTCTAGCTGGAGGTGGACAGCATGTTTCATTGTGAATCTTTAGGAATCGTGTTAGTCATTGTGTTCAACAGAGTTACCAAGTTTTTCAAAGTTGATTATCTTTACAATATTGCTATTGAGATATGTGTGTGTGTACATATATATATATGTGTATATATATATACACATATATATATGTTGTTCTCCTGGTTCTGCTCACTTCGCTTTGCATCAGTTCATACAAGTCTTCCCAGGTTTTTCTGAAACCATCCTGGAAGGGCTATTTCTAATATGACAATAAAAGGATAAATAGATGATAGATAGACAGATAGATTGGTGTGGATGGGTGTTGATGAGGTCTGATACCAACACTGAGTTTGAGGTCTTTCAGCTATCTGAGCTGAAAGACAGAAGATTTGCCTACTGCCTCTTGACTGTCTTGGTACTTAAGGTACATCATCAAAGCAGCACAATGTTTTAGAAAGAGCCTTGGACTTGTCAGAAGTTAGAAGACCTAGATTTAAGTCCCAGATCTGACATTTATAAGCTGTCTGCTCATGGATAAGTTGCTTCATGCCTCTGGGCCTCAGTTTCCTCAAGGAATTGGGGAGGAAGGGCAAGTTTATGGGGAAAGATGCTAAGTTTCATTTCAGACATGTTGAATAAAAGCTACCTGTGGGTCATCTACATGGGGATATCTAACAAGTAGTTTGAGATAGAAGACTGAAGTTTAAAAGAGAAGCTAGGGCCAGATATATAGAACTGTGAGTAATACACATAAAGGTGGTAATTAAAGCCATAGGAGTGGATGAGTATAAGAAGAAAATGGAAGAAGGCCAATGGCAGAACGTTAGGGGATACTCAGCCTTCAGAGATGGGAGGAGGAACAGCAATGTACAACTTCATATCCCTAACTAGATTATAGGCTTCATGAGTTCAGGGACCATATGGACCATATTATACCTGAACTTTATATCTCCATTAACACCTAGCGCACAAAAAGATGATTCATTAATTCTTGTTGAAAACAACTTTGAAAGTCTTCAGAACTCTCATAAAACACAATGATCAGTGCAATACCATTCCAAGGGTCTAATGAGGGTGACGTCATCCTACCTTCTGGTAGAGTGGTGATGGGCTCAAGACACAGAACGAGACCTACATTTTTAAACACAGTCAACATAAGCATTTATTTTGCTGGACTATGCATATTTGTCATAAAGGTTTGGATTTTATGGAGGTGGGTGGTGACATGAGAGGGGAGAGGGAGAGAAAATAATTACTAATTGAAAAATATTTTAATTTTAAGAAATAAGTGAAATAAATGTTTTTGAATGAATAAATGAATGAATTACCTCAGGATCAATGCAGTTCCATTTTCTTGTTCTTCCTGACTGCCAGACATAGGTGAATCTGAACCTGCAGGTATATAAGAAAAATGACCCCAGTTAGCTAAGTAAAAGGTGAAGACAAGTACTAACAGTGTAATTCCAAAGTTGAGTTTATACATACCCATTATTCCAACCACTCTGATGAAGCTGGCTTTCAATCAACCCATCAGCCATTTCATTCACGCAACCAGTTTGCTTTGTCTTCACTGAATTGTCCAAATGGTCTGAGAGACTCAATATTGCTGTGTATCATGAAGACGTGGCCATAGAATAAAATGGACTGACTTTCAAGGAGCTTCTGAAGACCAATTTTGAAGGCCAACCCCCAACTGGGAAGAGGAAAAGCTGTAGATGCTTGTATAAGTTGTGGATGCTTCCTGTAAAGCTTCTTCTTCCAAATCATAAATTAAAATTATTCCATGAGGTAACTGGAAACCAAGTTGTTCCAATGCCACACACCTGCAAAAAAAAAAAAAGGACAAAGTTGATACCCTCCCAGTTAATTATCTGCTATGCAAATTAAGCAAAAACCTCCTTAAAATATTTTCCAAGTTTCAGACAATCACAAAACTAAGAAAAGTTATTTCAACTCAATGAAAAAAATCTTTACAGAATACTTATTATGTACCCAGCAATGTGCAAAATTAGAGGGGAAGGGGGTAGAAGAGTAAGAAGGGATATAAAAAATTCAGAAAACATTGAGGATTTTGTGATTGAATTGGAGAAATGAGACTTACTTGGACTAGTGCTCACGGTGGATGGAACAATAACAATTGATGACAGAGAGAAGACAGAACTACTCAGCTCTAATTTCACATAGCAGAGATGTTCAGAAGAACTTCCTTAATATATGCTTTACTTTCTTCCAACAAGAAGAATGATCTCTAGATTTTAAAGGACAGATTTAAAATTGCTAACAGAGAAATGAAACCCAAGATAAGTAGGGAGATGCCAAGAGGGCATCTACTCACTATCTATATCCCGAGCCAGAGTATTATTTATTCAGTGAGTTCTGGCAGAGGTCTTACATAAAAGATAATTTATAGTTAAAAGTCAAAGTTATAGAAAAGGCAATGTTGTTGTCATCCTTAGAAACTGATATACAAAAATGTGCATCTGACTAAGAAAGGGTGGGTAGGAAGGTGCAGAGAAGAAATTCAGAAAAATATCACCCTGCATAACCACTGGAAAATTTGCTCTTGCACCTTAATCAAAAGTTGGTGGCAATGAGCTTCCTCCTTTCTGTCAGCCTTCTAGCTTGCAGCTCCTGGGGAGAGGTGGGTTGGGTCTGTCTGCTGGCATAGGACAAAAATTAATGGAAATCACAACTGGTCCCCACAGACTGCTGTATATCCACTTCTAAATGGGTACCATCAGATGTGTAACAGAAGAGACATGTCTGCAGGGACTCTGGTCTGCTGTGCCTACATTTTCCCCAGCACCAGAGTCTAGGAAGGAATAATAAGGAGTTGAAAGGTGGTGGAAAGTAAGAGAGGATGACTTTGGAAGCTGAGAAGAGGTGAACTTGAAGGGAGAAAGGCAGAAGGTCACCTCTACTGGGAACTCAAGCAAACTGGTGTCCAAGGATTTTTATACAGAGGAGGGCCATACTGAAAACCCTTCCAATTGGGGAATGACTGAACAAATTGTAGTATGACTGGGAAGACCTTTATGAACTGAGGCACAGCAAAGTGAGCAGAACCAGAAGAAAAATGTATACAAGGATAACAACATTAAAGAGAAAAATAACTTTGGAAGATTTTAGAACTCTGATCAATGCAATGATAATTCATATGTCCAAAAGACTGAAGCTTAAATATGCCACTCTCCTCCTAGAGAGAGGTGGTGAACTCAGAATGCAGAAAATAACATACATTTTGGATATAGTTAATGGGGGAATTTGTTTTGCAGGACTATGTAACCATATATTGAGGGATTTCTTTTTCCAGAGTTTTAAAAACTCGTTCAACGGAGGAGGAAGGTAGTAGAAGGGAGGACAGGTTAATTTTTAAAATACTCATTACTTGAAAAATAAAAATAAGCAACTTAAAACAAAGGGGAAATTGTAGTATACAAATGTAATATAATACTATTTGCTATATAAAATGATGAAGGGGATGTTTCAGAAAATTCTAGGAAGCCCTGTCTGAACTGATGCAGAGTGAGGTGAACAGAACCAGGAAAACAATTTATACAATTACAACAACACTGCAAAGACAATCAACTTTGAAAAAATTTTAAAGCTCTGAGATCAATGGAATGATCAGCCATGTCTCTGAAGGACTATGAGGATGCATGCTTCCCACCTCCTGACAGAGAAGGGATAGACTCAAAATACAGAGCTTATTCAGGCATTTGTTTTGCTTGACCATACGTATTTGTTACTAGGGTTTTGTTTTTCTTTTTTTTCAGTGGGGAAGGTGGAAATGGGAAAAGAAAAAAAGAAATGCTTGTTAATTGAAAGAAATTAATTTATGGTACATACCACAGTGTGAGGTGCCAGATCAGCATCACTCAAGTGTTTTTATTGGAAGGAGTGGATGCTTGCGCAGGTAAGTCTAATTGACTTCCCATCCCTGAGGAAACATGGGCCCCAGCAGACACTGCAGTCCTTGTCTCCCTCTCCAGCTCCAGATACACTTAGGTGGTACAATGGGTAAGAGTGATGGACCTGGAATTAGGAAGACCCGAGTTCAAATTTGACCACAGACACTTTCTAGTTGTTTGAACCTAAGCAATTCATTTGACCTCTCTTAGCCTCAGTTTCCTCATCTGTAAAAAAGGTCTAATAATAGTAGCTATCTCACAGGGGTTGTAAAAATCAAATGAGATAACACACATAAATCACTTAGCCAACCTTAAGTGCTATATAAATGCTTATTATTATTCTTATATTCCTAACACATTAGTCCAATGTGGAAGAGTGGGCATACTCCTCAGAGAATCACAAAATTTTTGAGCTTAAAGGGACATCAGTGACAATCTAGGCCAATCTATGATATTCTCAAAGAAACCCCAAGGATAACAACCTATGTTTGAGAAGCCCCATGGAGGAAGGACCTCAGTGCTTCCCAAGGCAGCCCATTCCACTGCTGGTTCCCAAGTTCCTCTTGATGTCAAAACTGAATTGATCTCTTTGCAACTTCCACCCACTGCTCCTAGTTCTGTTCTCAGGGGCCAAAGAACAAATCAAATCTCTCTTCTTCATGACAGTTCTTCAAATACTGAAAGAGAGATATTATGTCTCCCCTGAGTCTTCTCTTCTCCACACTAACTATCCCCAGTTCCTTGAGTTGATCTTCATATGACATGGACTCCAGACTCTTCACCATCCTGACTGCCCTCCTCTATATGCTCTCCAGCTTATCAAAGTCTTTCCTCAAATGAGGCACCAGAACCAAAGCCAGTATTCCTTCCAAAAGGATTCTGACCAAGGCAGAGTACAGAGAGACTCCTTAAACCTGGAAGCTATGCCTCTCAATGCAACCAATGCACATTCAGCTGCCACATCACAACGCTGTCATATATTGAGCTTGTAGTCCACTAGAACTCCCAGATCTTTTTCAAACTGTTATCTAACCATGCCTCTCCCAGCTTGTACTTGTGAAGTTGATTTTTTCAATGCAAGTATGACTTTACATTGATCTCAGTTAATTTAATCTTATTAGATTCGGCAAAACAAAACAAAAACAAAAATCAAACAAGAGATAGTGAGGTTCATAGCAAGTAAAAGGGACAATTTCGATTATATTCAATTATAAAGTTTTTTCAAAAATAAAACCAATACAACTAAAATTAGAAGAGAAGCAGAAAATTTGGGGGAAATTTTATAGCAAGTTTCTCTCATAAGAGTCTCATTCTTAAAATATATAAGGAACTGAGTAAAATTTATAGGGATAAAAATATAGGAAATATAGGAAAAAATAGGAAAAAATTTAGAGGAATAAAAGTCACTCTCCAATTGATAAATGGTCAAAGGATGTGAACAGGCAATTTTAAAGGAAAAAATCCAAGCTACTAACAATGTTCTAAATCACTAAGAAACAGAGAAATACACATTAAAACAACTCTGAGGTACCACCCCACACCCATCAGAATGGAGATAATAAAAAAGGAAAATGACAAACGCTGAAGGGAGTATGGTTGAAAAAAAAAACACGCCCTTTAATGCACTACTGGTGGAGCTGTGAACTCGTCCAACTATTCTGGAAATCAGTTTGGAACTATGCTCCAAAAGTTATTAAACTGGACTACTAGGTCTGTACCTCAAAGAAATAAAAAATGTTTATAGCACCTATTTTTGTCATGGCAAAGAATCAGAAACTGAGGGGGTATCCATCAATTGGAGAATGGTTAAACAAGTTATGGTATATAAAGGTGATGCCAATAGAGAGGAAAAAAGGTGGGAGAGAAGAATTATATAACTAGATAAAAACAGGAGATAAAAAAATTAAAAAGCAAAACCCCAAAGAGAAAACAAGAGGAGGGGATCTAAGGCAAAGGAAAGAGAGCCAGAGGAAATATGGCCACCTTTAAAAAAAAATTAAGATAAAGTAACTGAAGGAACACAGTACTGTGTTTACAGCAGGAGGGGAGGTGGATCATGACTTTAAAAACTCAATATTGGTGATAGATGGAGGAAGATATAAACCTAACATAACTCTAAATGTGAATACATTAAACAACTCAATAAAATGAAAAAGAGTGACCAATTGGATAAGAAAACAAAACCCTACAATCTGTTGCTTACAAGAAACACTATTTTAAAAAGACATATGGGGCAGCTAGGTGGCGCAGTGGAGAGAGCACTGGCCCTGAAGTCAGGAGGACCTGAGTTCAAATGCGGCCTCAGACCAAACATTTGACACTTACTAGCTGTGTGACGCTGGGCAACTCACTTAACCCCAATTGCCTAAATAAATAAATAAAATAACATAAAATAAAATAAAATAAAATAAAAAACAGACACAAAATAACATTTACTATACAGCAAGTAAATCCAAAAAAGCAGGAGTTGCGATCACGCTATCTGACAAAGCAAAAATAAATATTCAAAAAATAAAAAGGAATAAATAAGGAAACTACATTAGATGATAAATAAGGAAGCTACTACCAATATCAGTAATAAATTTATATGCTCCAGATGTCTTAGCATAAAAATTCATAAAGGAAACATCTGAACTTCAATAATATATAGACAGTCTGGGGCACCTAGGTGGCGCAGTGGCTAGAGCACCGGCCCTGGATTCAGGAGGACCTGAGTTCAAATCTGACCTCAGACACATAAAAACACTTACTAGTTGTGTAACCCTGGGCAAGTCACTTAACCCCATTGCCTAGCCAATAATAATAATAATAATAATAATAATAATAATAATAATAATAATATATAGACAGTCAAAAGTGACAGGAGACTTCAGTATCACTCTCTCAGTTTTGGATAAGTCTA